TCAAACTCACTTTATTCTTTTACTGATGACTCTCTGCTTTCTGTTAGAGCCTGATCGTATCAGGTTGGTGGGAGGAGCCAATCACTGTGAAGGTATACTGGAGTTGAAACATGTGGGGGACTGGAAACCAGTTTTTATCCGTCATTGGAACCTGAAGGCAGCAGCTGTTGTTTGTGAACATCTGGGCTGTGGATCTGCTGTTTCTGCCCAATCTGAAGACTCTACAGAAAAAAATGTGTGGTTAATCAGACCTAACTGTGTCAAACCTGGATCCGCCTTGTGGGAATGTGCAAAATCAGGTTATTCATCCAATGTCCTGAAAGTAACCTGCTCAGGTAAGAACAACAGTGACATATTCTCTGAGCTGATCATTGTTATATTGAACATTCAATTAGAAGTAAGAGTAATTATACAAACATAACTTTAACTTTTAAGCCAATAGGCAACTTGAGTAAAAATATCAAGGCATGAGTTTAATTTATCTCCTTTGAATGTGACTAACAATTTATCAACCACAGAGGATTTCCAATGTTAAAGAACTGGAAATTAACAACTGGTTCTACTAATACGACTACTGATGATAGTAATAATAGTGACAATACCCCTCTATGGATTGCCACATTACCATTGTTGAATGGTAGGGGTGTCCCAGTGATATATTCCTGGGCTTTTGATAGAGTCTCCAAAGACAGATTGGTTCTGATTGAGGTGTCAGATAAAGAGTGATTCACAAAAGCCCTGTGGAGAACTGGATCAGGTCCAGGGACTGGTCTACCTACTTTTATATTAAATTCACTTGTTGGTCTGTTCTGTGTCTGTGTAAAGCACTCTCTGGTCTGTTCTTTCACATGTTCATCTCTCTGAAAGCAGGGTGATAAAATGACTCATGGTGAATTTGATAATGTTTTTGAGCTGAAAGCAAATTCCTCACAAACCGGTCTGAGATTTTGTTCTGTCCTCTGCTGAGCTCCAATCAATGTTTTGCCTTAAATATGTGGGGTTTTTTTTCTTCTTTGGTTTCCTACTCAGGACTCCAGGCTGAAGAAAAACACAATGCTACAGGTAAAAGGATGAAATCAGAGAGAATAAAGAATGAAAGTTCAATTAATCTGTTCAGAAGTAAATTCACTTCTTTACTGATGGCTCTCTGCTTTCTGTTCAGAGCCCGATGATGTCAGGTTGGTGGGAGGAGCTAATCTCTGTGCAGGTACGGTGGAGGTGAAACACCTGGGAGAGTGGAGACCAGTGGAAGAATCTGACTGGACACTGAAGGCAGCAGCTGTTGTGTGTGAACATCTGGATTGTGGCTCTGCTGTTTCAGTAGAACAGAGACAGAAGTCACTGACATTGGTGTGGCAGCTCCAACCTGATTGTGTTCAGTCTGGATCTGCTCTCAGGGAGTGTGTCTCTTCAAATTTGTCTTTTTTTGTCCTAGATCTCACCTGTTCAGGTAAGCCAATGAGGCAAAAATATTTATGACATCATGTATGGCACAGTAACAGCTTGCAGCACACAGCAGCTAAAGTGAGTTGTGCCCTTGTCTCCAGACTATGCTTCCATTTACAGAAGGTGTGTCAGTGAGATTTGCGATATCCTCAAAGTATTCCCAAGTGCCAACTCCTCACTCTTTAGATTGTGTA